CACAAACAACACGTTACTTACTGGGATATGCTTACTCATTGAAGATTGTAGCTTAATCATACAGCCGGTCCCCAGAAAAAACTAAAATGAGCGAACGGTTCTCCACCATACAGTCCGGTGCTGTTCCTCCGGTCGGAGCCAAAGTCTCCTGATCTGCCGGGACGAAACCATGGACGATATACCGAAGAGGAGGAGAGAGAGCCGGAGAGCAGCTCCTGCCTCCCCCTTCACTATAAAACACCAGCGACGTCCTCGAACCTAGTTATCCCCCTCCACTAAAAAAAAGGCACAATAGTCACTCAAATAACTACAAACTGAAAGAAGTAGTCATAAATAAAAATTTGTTAAATTATAATTTAGTGAAATAAGACGTTGCTTTTGAATTGTGGTTGAAATTAATAATTTAAAAAAATAAAAATAAAAATTGTCTCTTACAAATGAGAGGCCTTTGCTGATGAGCAGGTGAGCAGTGGTCCAGAACACCTGTCAACAGGTGCACAAGTCTGACTGAGAGTTACAGGAAACACCTGATGGCAGTGATTGGCTCAGAGGGTTGTTCAGCTACATATTAGTTCATGGCTCCCATCAGGCTGGTTTGCTTGTGTGTATTTATTTATATTTATATTTATTTTTTAATCATATTTCTGTTGCACCACTATTCAAAAGCAACGTCATGATGATCATTCCATTTTTTATTTATTATTACTTTTGTCAGTTTGAACTTATTTCTGTGACATCTGTTTGTTTTCCTTCTTTAATAGGAGGGTATGAATACATTAGAGGACGACTGTACAAACTAATACAACTATTATATTATATTATATTATATTATATTATATTATATTATATTATATTATATTATATTAGTCTTGCACATGACTGCACCAAAACAACACACATACAATACCTTATAAAGCTTTTCACTTCACTTTGTTGCACTCTTATTGTATGTTTTTGTCTATGTATAGACAATGAGTTCCTGAATTGGTATTTATCTGTAGTTTTTTAATTTATTTTTTTATTCCTGCATTTGTTCTGGTCCTTATATATATGATCTGCTTCAGCTAAACTTACCAACACCTCATTTCTCCTCGTGGCTTAACAAAGAGTCTTCTAATTGTACCCTGATGCTTTTGCAGTTAGCTATAGTACAGTCCCACTTCAGCTACTTCTGGTTGGTTTCATCCACTTGGGGCAGAAATCAGCTGCAACTTAAAATGCACCAAAACCAAATTATGACTATTGTGTAGATGCTCACAGTGAAGGGGCCTGACATCATGAATATTTGTTATTTGCCGTTAGTTATTTGACAGTAATTGAAAAGTCGCCTGACGTTGTCTTTCAACTGTAGGTACAAGGGTGTAACTACCATTTGGGGTACAACTGTGTACTACAAAGCCTTATATCACTATCCACAAAACCTCTAGTGTTTGAAGCAATCAAAAAAATAAATAAAAAAATGAGGAGAGGAAAGCTTGGAGCTGGCTGCTGCTGCTTCAGCCACATGTGGCTTTAAACTTTTGCTCCATGAACCCGACTCAGCACTCTAGCAAAACAGTTACTATCAGCACAAGAAAAAACTGAAACCCCAATGGTTAGTACATTACAAAAACATATTAAAAACATTAAATATTTTAATTCTGACTTCCAAAACAGATGTATAAATTAATTAAATAATAATCAGATTTCAGAAATTGTACACTTTGTCATAAATAGTCAGGCTATCTTCAGTGACTGTTCAATTTTATAAAATGTTTAATTTAAGGATTTATTTGATTTTTCTTTTATTGTATTCTTTTCCTTTCTTGCTAATATTTTTCTGTCATTGTCACACCGTCAGCCTTTATTTTGAAGACAAACCCGGGACGCTTCCTATATTTCCTGTGTGTTATTGCGTCCAACTTGACCGTGTGTTGAAACCCCACCCTGAAAATGTGGTGTTTTGCCCAGACATCTTTCTGCTCCAGGCTGCACAGGTCAGGTGGTAGCTGAGGCCTGACTGGTCCTTCACCTCCAGGGATCACATGTGGACAGCAAAAAAAAAATGATTCAGAATTACATCAGACAGCACTGAAATATGCCTCCATAGTTTATTATGCAATCTGAAGACTGCTTTGGATAATCTGTATTTTAAGCAGCTTAATAGGAGAGAAACTATGTCACCTGTCCACAGTTTACTGAGTTGGATCACCCAAAATGAAAATAAAAAATGAAATAAATAAGTCTTTATTCGCCCTGGTGGTGTCTTGATATGCATGCATCCTGAGGACAGTTATGCATATGGACGACTCAGACGCTCTTGTTGTACAGCAACGGCTTTTCCTGACACGTAGATGTAGCTGCAGATCCTGAGATGAAACTTCTTGGAGACTCTTTTTGGATAAAACTGCCTGCCGTTGGGCTGAAGTTGCTGCTGCAGCCAGTACAGTTTGAAAACTCGATGATTCTCCTCATTATAGATGGATTGATCTTAAATTATTTGGAGATCTTTTTAAATCGCTTGCCTGACTCTTTGGCATCCGTAACATTTTCTCTGAAAGCCCAGAGAGCTCTTTACATCTTGACACGATGACACCACACGCTCCAGGAGCAAAGAGTCCAGATGTCAGAGGTTTTAACAGGACATGCTCCATCTGTCAGGCCTTAAAGAGGTTCTAACCTTTGGCATCTAATCTGGAACTGGTTTGGTGTGATAAAATGTACCTAAAATATCTACCTTTAAATCATGAAAATGAATAGAAAGTGACCATTTAAGTGTCCATAGGTCTCAAAAATGACCAGATGTTCCATGTTTCCATGCAGGGTACTTGTTTTTACTGTATTTCACATGATTGTGCATTTCATGGAACAATCATGGATATGATAACTTGGGGGCTGCAAGGTGGCTCAGTGGTTAGCATCTTTGCCTC